CATTATTCCTGCCTCTTCTACTGTCTGCAGGTAGTGCCACGGATTACCTGGTTTTTCCAGGCCTTAGGATTTTTTCCTGGGAGCCCTGGTGGTGTAGGGGTTACACACTGGGCTGCTAACCCCAAGGTCAGCAGCTCAAAACCACCAGCTGCTGCTTGGGAGAAAGGCAGGGCTTTTCACTCCCGCAGCAGTCTCTTCAGAACCCTACAGTGGCAGTTCTGCCTGCCCTACGAGGTCACTATGAATAGGCATGACTGAATGGCAGTGAGGTTTTATGTTTTGGGGGTTGGTGGTTTGTTTTTTTAGTTTTCCATTGGCAATGAGGTTTTATGTTTTGGGTTTATTTTTGATTTTGCGAGTTTTCCATCTTGACAGGCTGCAGTCTGACCACTTTCCTACCTCTCCTGCTAGTGCACAATATTTATCTGGTTTTTCCTCCTGTGGCTTCCAGCTTTTCCGGGTTTTAGTGTACAAACTAACACTAAAAATTCCCCACAGTTCTCAACCTCAGCCCCGAACCTTCTAAAAGCCATGTCATAATTTCCTAGATGAGTTGTGGAGAAAATAATTTGGAGCCAACATATACTCAATCAAACCATCTGACTTAAAACCAAATTACATATATTTGTTATTATGATAGGTAGGTTTTATTGTGCCCACCTGGCCAATAGACACATGTGGGATTAATAAGGTTGCAGTTTAATTGAAGGGCAAAGAGATAAATGGCTCAGCAAACCTCGATTGTCTGTCTCTTGCTCTCTGGTGATCGGACAAGTGTGTAGCTGCCTTAGCTAATTCTCCGCCTCAACTTGTGAGCTACACTACCCATGGGACACCCAACAGTGGTCTGTGTTGCTATAGTTTGAGGTTCCTTGGAGACCTGCTTCACCACACTGCTGGTGTATACATCACTTGAGCTGGGGACTGTTGGACCCTGTCATCTGGCTGTTAGTGACCTGCTCTACTTTTTACTGTCTGTAGCCAGACTGCCTATATTGCCCTACAGAAGACTCCACTGTCTGCTTCCTTGACTTGCACCCAACAGCCCTCGTGAGTGGAAGGACTGCCAGTATATTAACTGTCTCACAGAAGTGAGTTAAACTGAGCCCTCTGTCCTTCTCTGTGGACTAATTAGTTGTTTATTTCAATGTGAGATGATGATAGATAGATAGATAGATAGATAGATAGATAGATAGATAGATAGATAGACAGATAGATGTAGATATATAATCATAAGTGTCCTGGTTTTGTTTCTCTAGAGAACCCTGTCTAACACAGTTATGCATCTGTGTGTGTATACATATAAATTTGTATTTCCATCTGGGTTTCCTCCATATGAATGATTCTTTCACAGTGAAGAGCAGTAAGTTCTGTGCTCACTTGCAGGGCTGCAGGATGTACTATGCCGTGGCACCAATTCAAGACAGAAGTCTGTGCTTGCTAGACATTCTGACTGCCAGCATCCTTTGTATGTTGTAGCTCGGCACACATACATGCCATGCCCTGTATTCCATTTTATTTTGGGGGTTTTGTTTTGTTTTTTCCATTCTATGTTTTAATGCTGAAGTTCTCCACTTGGAATTTTAAAATGTTGCACGCTAAAGTACTTAAAAAAACAAATCATACTGCATTTTTCTGAAAATTTTTCTTGGGAAAGGAAATGCCAAAATATTTCCAAAGTCTTACTGGCAGCAACTAGGGACTGGTTTGGCGCTTTCGGGAATAGCCACAATTTTCAGGTTTTATAGGAGGTGAAGTTTTATCAAAGAAATATTAAGACGCAAATGCTATAGTACTTCAGACTTATAAGGCCTGTATACAGGAGAAAGACAAAGCGTTCTACTCCCGTAAAGAGGTACCGTCTCAGAAACCCACGGGGCAGCTCTCACGTGTCTACCGGTCACTGTTGGGTCAGAACCGACTTGAAGGCAGAGAGTTTGATTTTGAAAGAAGGCATCCATAATGCCCAGATGTCTTTCGTTGCTTTTTAGGGCTGCAGAAAATTCTTAGGCCATTTTCAATATAACACCTACAAAAAATGCTCTTACATTACAATAGAAAGTAGAAACTGCATTCCTCTTACACCCCCAAAAAAGTCAGTTCTTTGTATGGAATTCTGGGTTTCTTGCATTTTGGACTGCTAAATGTAGATGTCTAAAATGTGACTCAATCGATTTTTAAAATCATTTTATTGGGGGCTCTTACAACTCTTGTCACAACCCATGCATCCACCCACTGTGTCAAACACATTTGTACATTTGTTGCCATCATCATTTTCAAAACATTTTCTTTCTACTTGAGCCCTTGATACTCAAGATCAAATTAATGACAAGTTTTACCTTTGAACATGCTAATGATCTTGGACTTGCAGGCCTGGTACAAAACCAATAAGCTGGCAATGTTCATATATTACCACTGTTATTGATAACTACAGTTGGAGGGCTAGAGGGTGCCCAGGGCAGGTGTGGGGCATTTTATAAGATCCCCTCCCTCGCAGGGGTCTTAAAAGAAATGTGTCAGAAATCCTTATCACCAGAATATTCATTTTCACAGCCCCGCTGCTACAAGGTTACCCCAAGAAGCAACAGCTAGCTAAATATAACTCTATTCCACAATTTAACCAACACTTAAAAAGCTAATCAAATGCAAGCAGCCCAGCCCCCTCCCCATCCTTACTGCGGACGTCTAGTCTCCAGCCTCCCCATCTCTGCAAACCCAAAACTCACTGCCCATCGAATCAACGCCAACTTAAGGTGACCCTTTAGGACAGGGTAGACCTGCCCCTGTGAGTTCCTGAGACTGTAACTCTTTCCAGAGTAAAAAGCCCCATCTTTCTCTGCAAAGCAGCAGTTTTGGGTTTTGGGTTTTGTCTTGGTCTTGGTATGGTTATCAAGTATTGTCACCATTGTTGTGGGGTGTTTTTTTTCTTTTTCTTTTGGATTTTTTTTTAGTCATTTTATTGGGGCTCATACAATTCATCACAATACATAGATCAATTGTGTAAAGCACATCTATACATTTGTTGCCCTCATCATTTCCAAAATTCGCTTTCCTCTTGGGTTTTAAATAAACTTAAGTGATACTGGAAACCTTTGAAAAGTATGCTATTTTTCATAAAGTAGAGAAAATTGACATGAGATCATTGTCGATGACTAATCCAGGCAATCATTTCTTAGTGTCGTGCATCCTAATTCATGGTGACCCCACGTGACAGAGAGTTGACCCACGGGGTCTCCTCGGCTATAAATAGCCAGGTCTTTTCTCCAGTGGAGTACCCGTGGGTGCCAACCATTCACCTTTAGGACAGCAGCCACGTGCTTTACCACTGTCCACCTGAGCTTCTAAGAACATACTACAAAACCAAAATAAACTCAGGGTCTTTGAGATGATTCCAACTCATAGCGGCCCTATAAAACTAGCTAGAACTGACCCCCTCCCACCCACACCCTGGGTTTCCAAGGCTGGCAGTTTTGAACTGCTGCCCTTGAGGAGAGCAGCCCGCCCAATTCATAACCAGTACTCCACCAGCGTTCCTGAGAATGTGTTAAAGACCCATGAACAAGTGTAAAAGAAAAAAACATTATGATAGGTGAAGAATTCAAATATCGCCATGCCAGGAGGAAATGAAAGAGGCTCTTGGATATTTGTAATAAAAATCAAGCTCTTTGAAAATATGGTGATGTCCTAGGTCTCTTGTTGTGCAGTTAATCAATTTTGTTAAAAGTCTCCCTTATTACACATGAACACGCCACCCCCCCAAAAAAAAACAACAACAACAAAACAACTCACTGCCAGTGAGGCAATTCCAACCCACTGCATCCTTGTAGGAGAGTCTAGACTGGTTTTTGTGGGTTTCTGAGATTGTAACTCTCTATGGGAGTAGAAAGCCTCATCTTTCTCTTTCAGAGTGACTGGGGAGTTTGAACTGCTGCCCTTGCAGTGAGCGGTCCAACATGTCCTTCTAAAAGCAGGGAGATGAGAAACAAAACTTGCACAGGGTCACACCGGACGTGGCAGAGCTGAGGCTTCCTCGGAAGCCCAGGCACCTAACATGATTCCCAGCTACCTGTTAGCCAAGGAAATAAAGTCGACATTATGTACACTGGTGACTCGTTTCCATGATTTCAGTTTCATTTTCAGAATCTTGTCTCCACCATTATTGCTTCTGAAATTTCGACCCCCGTTTGAAGGAGATTCCTTTTTAATGGTCCTTCCCTGCTTACCTCAGAGAAGGGGCCCTCCTCCGTACCCGCCCTCACCTTCTCTAAGAGGTGAGAAAAGCCAAGTTGCAGGCCTTGACAGAGAAGGAGCAGCCTGAAGTAGCCGAATTGGGGTGTGCACCCAGAGTTGGCTTGCCCTCACCTGAGCACAAAGCCTTTTGTGATATAAATACTCGGGCTCGCAGGAAGCGAAGCCGCTGAGCTGGGAAGGCAGGCCAGAAGCCGTGGCCAATACGAGCCCTGCAGTGTTCGGTGTGCCTTTGGGCCTATTACCTAACCTCCCTAGGCCAGTTTCCTCACCTGTCAAGCAGGGCCTACCTCACTGTTGTGAAGATGAGGCAGTAGTTACCCAGAGTAAAAGGAGAAAATACTTAGTGCCTATTACATGCACTCCATCAATGCTAGCTGCCATTAGTATTCATTATTATTCCTGAATAGGAAACAGGAGCCCTGGGGGGCACAGTGATGACTTATACCTTGAGCTACTAACTGCAAGGTCAGCAGTTCAAAACCACTAGCTGATCTAAGGGAAAAAGAAGGCGCTTTCTTCTCCTGTAAAGAGTTACAGTTTCAGAAACTCACAGGGCCAGTTCTACCCTGTCCTATAGGTCACTTTAAGTCAGGCACTGACTTGTTGGCAGTGAGTTTTTTGAGTGTGAGTTAATAATAAACACTAGCTGCTAACCAAAAAGCTGGAGGTTTGGGTGCCTTAGAAAAATACACACTCACAAAATCAACTATCAAAAATTCTTAGGAGAAAGGTCTTAAAAACTTACAAGCAAGTGTTACAGCTCTTTTAGAATTTATCTAAGAGGTTTTCTGGTTTTTTCCGGAAATCACCCCCCAACAATAACCAAAAAAACTTACAGTCAATCAAAGAAGCAACCATTTGTCTCTCCCTGCCCAGAGAAAAAGGAAATCAAAGATTCAAGGAAAGAATTAGTCCCAAGGACTAATGGACACTGAGAACCACAGCCTCCACTACCCGGAGACCTGAAGAACTGGATGGTGCCCGGCTGCTACACCACTGACCGCTGTGAGGAGGATCACAAAAGAAGTTTCTGGACTGAGGCGGGGGAAGTGGAGGGTGGAGGTGGGGGGGTCTCGGCATGTAGAACAAATTTCAAAACCATGACAAAGACCAGTTTTGCAGGCCTGATCAAGACAGTGAAACCCACAAGGCTGGGGCCCTTAGACAGCCTTCAGGCCTGGAGTGACCCCTCCCCGGAGGATCAACTTCCAGCTACAGGACAGGCAGGCCTATAAAATTCGTAATAACTACAGGGAGGAGCAGACCCATCAAGCCCACGGGACCAAGAGGGCAGCGTTTGCTAGAAAACAAATCTCAGAGACGGGAAGGGGCAGGAAAGGAGAGTGAACAGAAATGTGGAGCCGAGGGAGGAAAAGGGAAAAGACACTGTTACACCGGAGGGTGAGGGAGCTGCAGCCAATGTCACAAAACAAAATGTGCATAAACTGGTGCACGGAAAGCTAATTTGCTCTGAAAACTTTCTCCCAAGTGACAATAAAAACCTGAACAACAGCAAGCAAAATTCTACAGAGCACAGGTCCACTCCACCAGGAGTCGGCTCCACTCAACACCACCTGGTTAATATTATTACTACAGATTAACCATCTTCAAACGAGTTGCTTTAAGACATGAATCTTTGTTTCCAATGCATTCCTTCAGACCCGCTAAATAGCCGCCAGATCAAAATGACTCAGTGGGTACTGGACCCTGAAGGGGTTGGATGATCAGAATGGGAGGAGCCCAGTTCAGATCCCCATTCTTGATGGCCCAGCAGAAGAGCCAGGGATCTTGGTAGCACGAGAGTCTGATACTTTGAGAACCGAGATTTTATTGGATTCTTACGGAGGTGAATTTTCCACTTCCAGTTTAAAATTCAAAAGGGGGAAGCAATTACCACTGGCTCAAGTCTATTGCTGCATCAGTGGGCAACCTTCTGCATCTAAAGCACAAAGTCAATTCCGAGCTCCACACACTGACCTCTCGCTACAACTCACTGCCTTTGGGTCCCTTCCAACTCAAAGCGACCCTGTGAGACAGTGCAGAACGGCCCGTGTGGGTTTCCCAAAACTGTTATTCTTCACAGGAGCAGAAAGCCTCATCTCTGTCCCGTGGAGTAGCACGCAGTTTCAAACTGCTGACCTTGTGGGTTAGCAGCCCACTGCAGATCCAGTTCTGCCACCCGGGGTCGTGTCTACTAACTGTGGTAGTTACATAATCTGTTGTCAACTTGAAACTTAAGAACGAAGGGGTGAAGTTTAGCCTGTCAATCAGGTCGGAGCTTGATGACCTCATTTGGAGGCACCAAGGAGATAAGTAGCTCGCTGGAGGCAGGACGCTCACTCACTCCCTTCGAGACATTCTTGTTGACAAGCCACATGGCCTCGGAGTTGGAGGAGTCACGTGGAGACCCACCCCAGCGCGGAGATGCTTCTACCACCACTGGATCCACAAGACTTTCCACCCACTGGACTGGGATCTTCCTGCATTCTGCGTTATTGCATGGCTGCGGGAGTCTAAAGGGGAATTTATGGACTGGTATCGACATATGGGGTAATACCCACCAGACTTGTGGACTTGATCTTGACTGGGTTGGGCTGTTCTCTCAATATACAATTGTTCTTTTATATAAAACTCTCTTACACACATATGAGCATCCAAGAATTTGTTTCTCTAGTCTACCCCAGACTAACACACTAACTTAAGGGTGTCAAATTATATGACAGGGCTTCAAAAGTTCGTGGGGAAATATGTACTCCCCAGAGGAGGCGGCAAGGGGCAGTCAAGCAGCTGGGCGGTGAGGCCAAGGTCAAGTAACACTCTTCTGCGCTAGCACAATGACAACGGGTCAGAAGAAAGTACTGTGGAAATCACCTTAAGGGTGGGCACACCAGGCAGGATCTCCAGAGCTGGGTCCGACTAGAATGATCTACCTGAACAATGCTGGACTGGGCCGCTTGAAAGCAAAGCGCTGCATTTTTTGGCAAACTCAGGGGTGCAGGGAGATGTCCTAAGATTAGCAAAGAAACAACACAGAGACGGTTGGATAAGCTCTCATGAATGCAGCCTAATGGGGGTGGGCAGGGCAAGGGGAGCCGGGCAGTCTGAAATGGTGCAGCCTACATTCGCAAATGTCTTGTCTTCCGCAGGATATACTGGCTCACAGACAAAGTGATTAAGCCCTTAAAAGCTTTCTCTACACAGATTGAATGGCCTCTTTACAATCGCACGTATGTGATTAATCCGCTTGGAACAGGCTTCACGAGCCCCTGGGTGGTGCAAACTGTTCCCGTGGTCAGTGTCGGGAGAAAGGCCGGTGGAGCTGCAGCTGGAAGGGAAGCCCTGGAGCTCTGCTTCTGAACAAGCAGCCACTGAAATCCCTGTCCCAGGAGCCCTGGAGCCGGAGTGCTTACTCATGGGGTTGCTAACCACAGGTCCGCAGTTCGAAACCACCTGCCATCCTCGGGAGAAAGGATGGGGCTTTCTATTCCTGTAAAGAGTTACAGTCTCAGACACTCACAGGAACAATTCTACCCTGTGCTATCGGGTTGCCATGAGTCCGGTAAACTTGATGGCGGTGAGTTTGGCTGTGGGTTTGGGATCGCCATGAATCCGGATCAACCCGATGGCAGCTGGGTGCACCCTTCGTGGTTGTGACAAAACTCAATCACTCGATCATCCTGGGCAGGATACCACCTCTACGAAGGCATCTATCTCCTCATTGGTAACAAGATCTCTAAATCCTCTCCCAAGTCTGAAAGTCTGTTCACTGGTACTCAGCGTAGGCAAAGCCCTATCCAGCCCCACCCAGAGAAGAATTATTCCAATACAAGAGACCCGGCCCCTGTCCTTAAGGAGCTCACAGTCTGGCTGGGATACAGCCATAAACATCTAACCAATGGGCGGAGCCATGCACGGGCCAGCGGGGACTTGTGGGGTGGGTGGGTAGGAATAATGGCAGAGGAAAGCAGCTCTGTGCGTGGATGCAGAGGGGCCCCCAACACAGCAAGGAGCAGGTTATGTTTCAGAAACACTGAGATGGGGGATCGGTTGGAGCAACACATTTGTGAACCAGAGGAAGTCCCCGGGGCCAGGCTTTAGACATAATGCATCCTCACAAGCCCCACACAACATCTGCAACAAGAGTAAACAGCCCTCTTACAGGGACCAAACTCACTCGCATGGCAAGTTAGCCCCAAAGCACAGCACTCTGAGCAGAACTGTCTCTGTGAGTTTCTGAGACTGTACATCTTTACGAGAGTAGAAAGCCTCATCTTTCTTCCTAGGGAGTGCCTAGTGGTTTCAAACGGCTGACCTTGCGATTAGCAGCCCAATGCATAACCCACTACACCACCAGGGCTCCAATGGTCCTCTCCCAGAGAGCCAAAAGCTGCACCCCGAGTTCAAAGCCAGCTGCCATCACATCCACTCTGATTCATGGTAACCACATGGGTGAGAGTCATGCCACACACGTGGTTTCCAATGGCCGATTTTTCCAAAGTAGATCGCCAGGCCTTTCTTTGGAGGTGCCTCTGGATAGCCTGAAACTGCCAATCTTTCAGCTAGCTACCAAGCACATTTATGGTTTCTACCACCCAATCCCTGATTATATACTCACCTGTAGTCAGAATTTTCAATGATATGTATTCTAGTTTTCCTCACATGTACTTGATTTTTGTTTTCCCCAATTAATGGAATTCAGCACCATCTTACATTTAGTGAGGTCAAACTAATGGCTGACAATTCTCTGGTTAGGGACAGCTGATAACTATATTAGGGGCTGTGGTAGTTACATAATCTGCTGTCAATCTGAAACTATTAAGAGTGAAGGGGTAGAGTTTAGACTGTCAATCAGGTCACAGCTTGATGACCGCATTTGGAGGCATTACGAAGATAAATAGCTCACTGGAGGCAGGACAAATGCTCACTCCCTGTGACACTTCCTGCTGACAAGACACATGGAGCTATGCTAGTACCCTGGAGCTGGAGGAGCCACGTGAGGGCCCCTGCCAGTGCTGGAATACTTACACCACCATTGGATCCACAAGACTTTCCACCCACTGGCCTGTGATCTTCCTGTATTCGCCATCATTGCATGTGTTTCATGAGTCTGAAGAGGAATTTATAGATTGTATGGGACATATAGGCTAATATCAGACTTACGGACTTGATCTGGACTGGGCTGGGATGTTTTCTTAATATATAATTGCTCTTTTATATACAGCTCTTTCTTATACACATGAGTGTCTGTGAATGTTTCTCTAGTCCACCCAGACTAACACATGGGCCCTCATGGTACAGTGGTGAGATGCTCAGCTGCTAACCCAAAGCTTGAGGGTTTGAACCCACCATCTGCCCCAAGGAGGAATGATGTGGTTAAGTGCTTCCGTGAAGATTTACAGCCTTGAAAACCCTGGGGGCAGTCTCGCTCTGTCCTATAGGGTCACTGTAAGTTGGAATTGATGCTACAGCAAATATGATTGTATTGAGATGATCGAACCCTAGCTTCTTCACCAATATCTAATTTTTATTTTCCTATTTTCCCAGGACACAAACCTACCAGCCAATCTGAGGGAGGAGAGCAGGCTAACTGCTCCCATAGAGATTCACACCCTTGACACCGGCATTTATGGTCACTATGAGCCAAGGAAGCAGCAGTCAAAAGATCAAAGACATTGATGAAGACAGATTAACATTGGGTAAATCTGCTGCACAAGACCTCTTGTGTGTTGAAAAGCAAGGATGATACTTTGAGGACTAAGCTGTGCATGACCCAAGCTATGGTATTTTCAATTGCTTTATATGCGAAAGTCGGT